TGCGGGTTCTAGTCCGCAACAACCTCTCAGAACCCATCGCTATTCGGTCTGGCGTCCGACAAGGCTCTGTCCTGTCGCCCATCCCCTTTAACTACGTCATTGACTGGGTTCTCGTGAAGGCCCTACAGGAAAATGATGGCATTGAGCTTGCACCCGGGCGCCGGTTAACTGACCTCCACCATGCCGATGATATCGCTTTACTAGCTTCAAGCCTTAGCGATCTACAGTCCATGGTGTCACGGGTGAACGAGGTCGCGAAATCGGTCCGTTTGTCCATAAACGCTAGGGAGACCAAAGTGTTTTCATGCTGCATCCCTGCCCAAGAGAAGGCACCTCTCGAGATTGGTGGTTGTCAACTTGAAGAACTCGACAGTCTCAAATACCTCGGGGCGAGGTAGCCGCTGAATGGGCAGAGTAAAGATGACATTGTTTCCCGAATTGACGCGGCACGACGAGTTTTCTCCAGCCTTCGGAAGTGCTTATGGACCCGACGCGATATCTCTATTTCCACAAAGATCCGCGTGTACCGTGTATCTGCGCGGTCCGTTCTCCTATAAGGATGCGAATGTTAGGCTATGCGCGTGGATGATGAACAGAAACTGGAAGTATTTAACCGCTACTGTCTGAGGAGCATCCTTCGAGTGGAGTACACCGACTTCGTCTCAAATGAGACAGTCCGCACTCGCTGCACAAAATCACAAGGATATTCCAGGCCATTCAGCAAAGACGACTGAGGTGGTTTGGACACGTTCTTCGTCGTCAACCTCAAGAGCTCACTGCTACTGCCCTCGACTTGAAACCGTTACCTAAGTGGAAAGGTCGAAGAGGGGGTCAACTCTAAACCTGGCTCGACTCGGTCCGTCAGCACATGGTAGCGGTCCTTGAACCTTTGGTATTTGGTCTCCGGTGCTGGAGAAGAGGCTGGGTAGAGCTCTCCAGATCCGCTGCCGCCAATCGTCCGTGACATAATCGAGGCCGGTCAGGTCAGGCATAATTACAGCCATAACAAGTACATGTAAGTGCCAGGAGACTGTCACAGCCTCAATCGAAAATTCCATTCTACTTTCGCCTGATCAACCACTTAATACCGAATATGAGAATAATGCCAGTTATTCGCAGATCCGGTTTCTGCACAGATGTCTTGACAATGCCAGTTGCACTGATAAGCAGTATGTTCACCAGCTACCCCTGCTTGGTGCCGATCC